ACATTGCCTACAATGCTTGGGCTGGTAGGGTCGGAGATGTCCACAATCGTCAAACGACCATAATTAGATGGAGAAGTGGAAAATGCAGCGACATAGGCATAGTTGCCCTCCACGGCAATTCCTATTGCCTGGCCTAACTCTGTGCCTGTGACAGAACCGAGTTTCGCTGGAGTAAAGGCATTTGAAACATCAATTGTCACCAAAGCATCAGAGTCTTTGCCAGTAACATACACTACGCTGCCAACTGTGGCTATTCCACTTGCTCCAGTCAAAAGAGCGTCCTGGATGGTACCTCCGCTACCTCCGACTATGAGTGACACACTGCCTGAAACCGAAATGTCAACGATTGTCATGCCATTGTATGTTGATGCCGCGATATAGGCATAGTAGCCATTATCACTGATGCATACAGCATAAGCTCCGCCCAACGAGGCATCTGAAACCCCATCTACTCTCACTGGGGCGGTTGGGTCTGAGATATCGACGAGATTCACACCATTGTAGCCCGCAGCCGCAACCACGGCATAGCCTGTAGTCAAAGCCACTCCAGACGCTCCGGCGAACATGCTGTCTGATTGAGCGGTGCCTACGATGCTTGGGTTGGTTGGGTCTGCGATGTCGACTGCCGTGAGACCATTGTAGCTCGAAGCCGCAAGATAGGCATAGTTGCCCTGCAAAGCTACTCCTTTCGCTCCGTACAATTTGGAAGGGAAAGAAAGCTCTAGGGCTTGGCCAACCACGCTTGGAGTAAAAGCAGCGTGTGCCTTCTGACTGGTGAAAACCGCCAACATATGGATGACCAGGTGGCTTGCCATGCTCGCCATCAAAAGGATGACCCTGTGGTGATCAAAGTTGTCACCTGCGAAGTGTTCTTTTTGAGCACTCGCTGGCTGCAACGATCCGAGGGCAAAGTGAACAAGAAATCTGTCAGTCATTTGTGGTCTCCAAGACATTTCTTGAGAGCACGCGTTTCATGCTTTTCTCTTTCTTCCAAGGTCACCAAAAGAACCCAGAGTGTCGTCCTTTTGGGCTTCTGGCCAAGTCACGGATCTCTTCTGGCGGCCCATCCATACCTTTGAAATCAAACCGATGTGAACCACCATCCACCGTCCCAACCCGATCTCTGACCGATGGCGAGGCGGGCTGAGGAACCGCACAGCGAAGAAAGAAAGCTCTGACTGTGACTGATGTTCATCTATGGACCCCCAGATAGATAGAGTGTAAAAATATCTATTCAGGGGACCACTAGAGTCACCAAACTGGCGCCGAGTGACTCCAGTTTGACACGGGTGTATCACACTATCCGCAGAGTGAAGAATAAGGAACCCTCGAGCACGGTGACCTTCCTGCCTCGCTGTGCTGGTCCACCGTTAATCGGGGGATTGCATAAATGAGGATGGTATGGAATTGCCTGGTGGAGTTTGGTGTTTTCATCCGTGAAGACTCCAGTGCAACAAACCATTTATGGAAGAGGGGAAACACCTGACATACTCCCCTTTGACCAATCCGGATGTCTCTGTTTGACCAATCCCTGTGACAGTTCCTCATGCGTGGCCGGCGACCAATGTCAGCTTTGAAGTATTTCGGAGTCCCCAATGTTGCAAGAAACTCTTCGGCAGAGAGAACCGAGGTACTGCAACCTGCGCTGTAGTCACCCGCCACCAAGTGCCTCTCGCACAAGTTACTGAAGAGAACCTGGCAACACCTGGCTGTGATGGAGCGGGACAAGACTGGGGCAGGTGAGAATGAAAACTCCCATCTTTAGAAGCCTCAGCAAGTGCAAGAATGCGTGAATTACTTGGCACCTCCACAAATCGAGATCACTGGCAGAGGCATCGTCCTGCTGTAGGCCACCTGCTTGGCATCAAGTCTTTCCCCACAACTCTGAAGATTAGGGTGAGTTTTCAAGTTGCTGAGGCCCACCCTTTCATTCTGAACGAAGTTGATCTGAATTTTACCACTTGATCTACAAAATTGAATCATAAAGGCACAATGGCCTGAAACCAACATGATCTAACATCGAGCACCTGGGCAAGACAAGTTTTTTAAAGCCACATGGTAGATTCACATGATTCACTAGTTGTTCCAACGTTCCAAGCCTGCCTCCGCTTGCCAAGCGCCCAGCCGGTCAGCCGAGCGTCCACGATCTGAAACCAGGAGTCCACCGATTGTCTGGGCGTGACGCCTGCGCAGGCAAAGTCGAACGCCTGCGCAGGGTGGATCCACCAGTAGAGAACTCACGGTAGATCCGGCAGACGTGGTCGGATTGGAACTGTCTATAGATTCCTGGTGGATTCTCATTGTACTGAAACGTTCTTGATGCGATTCAGACCGGCCGATTCGGTCAGGGACATCGGTCATCCTTTCCGAAGCGAACATTGATGAAGAACTGCCTCCAAGAATCAAGACCCTGCCAAGCCCTCTCGGTGCCCACATGGGGGCTGTTTTGGTACTGCATCGCGCGATCATCGGTCTGGTTCCTTCGCAAGGTCGCTGATCGAGAGGGTCTTGACAGACCACAGCTGTTCATTCCCCAAGACACAAAAAGCTAGAAGCTAGGTTGAAGGCTCCGCATCTCACCTACTTGCGTTTCAAGGCTCTGCATGTCTGTGATGAACTTTCTCATTCAGTAGCTTCAAGAACGGTGGAAGGTAAACCTGCCTGAGACCAGAAGTCCAGCTGTGGGCCGTTTCATGCGAATCTCCAAGTCGTCCGTAGCAAACTCCAAACTCTACGAGAAAAAGCCCAACAAAATCACTCTTGAGACCACGTCCTCGCTTTAGTCCGAAATCCACGCTTTCATCCTTTTCTTTCCGTTGGCTTACTACTAGTAATGCCCTTGTTGCTGGTAGCGATGCCCTTGTTACTAGTAGCTTCTTTGCTTAGCAACGCCCTTCCTTTCCCTTCCTTTTCATCCCTTTCGGCCCACCGAGAGCGGCACCGAGAGCGCGCCGTCGGTCGCATGGGTCACCCGGGTTGGTGGTCGTCGGTCGCCGGGGTCGCAGGGGTCGCCGTAGGCGGCCGTGACGGTCAGACGGTCACGGCCTGGCAGTGAAGGGCACATGAAATGATCCAAGATTTCGCGCCCGATTTGGGGCACCTCCGGGGTGGATCTTGGAAACCTGACCTACTCCTGTCACTTCAACTACTGAAACATCAATTAATCAATCAAAGATCAGGAAGGGTTCAAGATCAAGCTTCGGGACTGAGCGAAATGCAAAAGGTTGTGAGCTGATCTGTAAGTCACAGAAAGTTACTTCACTTATAGACTTAAGCTGCATTAAGTTCTGCTGTGTGAGGCTGAAAAGTGTGCAAGCAGCAAAAAGTGTTTGGACTGGCAGCCGAGCCCACAAGACTGCAAGAAAGATCTGCAAAGTGAAAAGCAACCGAGTTGTGGTGACTTACGGATTCAGATCAGGAAAAATGTAAAAAACGAGATGGAAGGTTGCTGAAGAGAGGGAAAGAAATCAAAAAAGAGGGAGCTCAACACAAGGGTTATCCTGACATCCGGAACAGGCTAATGGGACCGTTGGATTGCCATAGAACAGCATCTCCGACGCATGCTTTTGTCTGAGGTTGTTGCTTCAAGCTCATCAGCCATCTGCCAACCAAATACTCAAAGGTCTCAAAGGTCATCGTGTGGTGGTCAATAGTTCCTCAAAATGCAGAGGGTGACGTTCACCCTACGTTCAGACCTGTGCTTTGGCTTCATTGGGTGTAAGTGCTGCTCCATGAAGAAAAGGTTCTCGCCAAACTTGCCACATGCCGGAAACCTGCAACATTGAACACAGATTCTCATCGCATCAGGCTCACTCCCGAAACTACAACGCCGATCTGCGAAGTCAACCTCTATCGCAAACATCCTTCTAACTTCACACAGAGGTCCAAAGGATGTCGCGGCAATCTCCGAAGCTGAGTCTGTTACTGAATGTTCTCAACGAAAAATGCGAAAAATGCCTCCCATAGGGGTTCCATACCCAGTCCAGTCCCATACTTCGCGTTTTGGCGCAGTGGCCTTGAAGTCGATCCCGACCACTTGGGGTCGGTTCCGTGACCGGTCTCAGCTGCCATCCCGGGAGACCCCGGCCATGGGTCGAAAAGAAGACAAACAGTCAAGCCAAGTCATGTAAAGCCAAGTCAATACATGAGAACCATTGAAAAATACAATTATTCAGGACCAAGAAGCTCTTTGAATTCCTTGTTGTCCAATGTCTACAGCTGTTACAGTTTGGGTCCCCTTCAAGCAGAAACGGCAACAGAACAACGAGCAACTCGTTGTTAAGCACATGTTGCAGCAGGAAGGAGACCATGGCGTGTGGTCTTAGGGGTTTCTGCAACTCATTGACTGATACAAGTAGGTTGCAGAGGTGGCATGGTGGTTTCGAACTCCCGGAAGAGTTGCATAAGTAGCCTAGCGGTCTCGGCCCTGAGTCAGGTGCACCGTCTCACCCTGAGAGGGCAAGATGACGATAGGATGCCATGTGTTCTTTTGGAATGCCAAAGCTTTGAAGAAGAACAACACTTTCGGAGACAATCGACCGAAACACTGTTTGGCTTTCGACCAGAAATGGAACAATCACATAAGGAAGGTCAGTCAACGTCAACTAGCAATCAAATACACACCCCAAAAAGAGGAACCCTTCCCAAAGGGACCAGTCACCCAAGTTGGGAGCGAACGCCACAGTCCAGGCTCCTTGCCACTCCTTCTCCCGGCTCGGAACGCATCCGCCGCGTAGGTGATGTGTGCTCGTTCTCCGGGACAATCCGCAAGAAATCGCAAGAAACCCTGCGAGTGCCTTTGGCACACATCTTCCTATCTCACCACATCTCACTAGGTCTGAGTTGGTTCGATTGGCCTTCACCACACAACTAGTTAATTACCTGAAATACGAACCACTCCCGTGAGCAAATGGACAAACTGGGGGGGGGGCAAAGATGCACCGAGCTCTGCAAAACACCGAGCTCCGCGATCTTCGCTCTCCGGCCACCGAGCTCCCCTCCTAGAGGAATTGCGCTTGTTCGGCTGAAACCTTCACGGGGCCGCTGGGAAGCTTCTCCTCCAATTCCTCGCCCCACCGACCAGGCCAACCCGAAAATTCGGCCATCAAATGCTTGGTCATGTTCAAGCGTACACTGGAGAGTGTGAATGCAACTGATGTCTCATCTAGACCATCTGGATGATTAGCTGAAATGAACCTTGTAGAAGATCTGCAACACGCCCGATCTAAAACTGATGATTGTTTTGCCAGAGAAACATGCTACATCCACAGCCATCACACCCTTCAAATCCTCCATGTTACATTCCTTGAAGGATCAATCACCACCCTTTGCAGCTCCTTGTGGAGCCTCAGCGCCAAGGCCTCCTGCGAGTCCGGCCGCAGCATGGAGAGCACTAGCAGCAGCACCGGCACAGCCAGCGCGACACGTGAGAGCCAAGTACAGAAGCGGAAACCCAAGGCCGCCAGAGCCAAGCCTCCGCCGCCGGTCATCCGAGGCTCTGAGGGCATCCGTCAGAGCGGTGTGGAGAAGGTGTGGGAGGGATCTTTTCCCTTTCGAAGCGGGTCTTTCGCAAATGCGGGTCACGCCGTGATGAAACCGAATCGAGCGGCTAGCGGTGACCCTGAATGGCGGAATCCCAATGTCCTGAAAGCATCCAGCACGTTCTTTGCAACCCGGAAGTGTCCACCCTGATACTATCTTTGCTATCAGGCGACGCAAAATGATGAAAACACTCTACATACATCCAGAAACCGTGTAAAACATCAAGGACAAAGAAATCAATAATATGAACCTAGAAGTGAAGTCAACTCCTCTTTTTTTCCTCCATGTTCTCCTTCTGAAACAAGCTTCAAAACCGTTCAATTGTGTCTTCAACCCCTCGTTTCTCCCCTTACAGCAGAAGCTTCAAAATGGTCTTTAGTGTGCCGAAACCGACGAGGGAAACCGACGAGGGGCATGCGAAGGACGTGGTCTGGAGGACGTTCACCTGCGGCTGCACAAAGGGCCGGGCGGTGCCAATGATCAGCGCCATGCCCAGGGTGATGGCCACTGATAGCCAAAGACCATCTTTGGAGCTCACGACCTGAGCGAAGTCGATGGACACAGAGAAACGCAACAAGACTTTATGCCTTCCATGCTTTCACTCACAACAACGTGAGTCTTTGTGTCCCAGAAATGTTCTGTGCTTCATCCTGCTTTGATCAAGGAGGATCACGGTATGTCTTTGATAGATTCTAGTAGCTCTTTTTTCGCAGGATTGTGGAGAACCCCGAGATCAAAGGCCACTTCACCTCTTCGTCGCATAGAGCCTCGTCCTCTGAAAAAGACCCAACATCCAAAGCGCACCAACAAGCTTCGGGCCTTCAAAAGTTGTTTCAGCTTGCAGCTTGCTATGTTCGAAGTTCAAAGATTGAAGGAAGCCCTTCTGCCTCATCAGAAACTCAGTCTTATGTTTTTCTGACTCCAAGGACCTCCGTCAACCTCCAAGGCGCGGAAACCAGGGCAGCTGAGGCCAACTTCGAGCAGACTTCCAGCCAAACAAACTGGCAGCTGCCCTGGGCAACAGAAATGACTTGAGGACATTCTTTTTCGCGGCATGAAATCAGAGTGGGATTGCTCTTGAACATTCGACATCAGGGGCAGCTGAAGAAAGCCACCAACAGCAGCAGAAACGACGCACCCAACCCCAAGAACTCGACTCAGGCGCTATCCGTGACTACGTGACTACGCGGTCCAAGTGATTGGACGGCGAAAACAAGGAAAGACGCCGGGGTCCTCAGGTCAGTTCGCCCCACTTCGCGTCACCAACCCCCACGGTCAACGGTCTTCTGCGAGCCACATACTTGCAGAGCAGCTGCTTCGCGCCCAACATGAGACCTCGCAACTCACAAGGGTCCGAGGCACTTTCAAGAGGCTGCATGTCAGTTGTTCACCATTCTGGTTGACTGGGGCCCGTGACCGCCAAGGATGAAGAAGTATGTGGGATGTCAGGTGGCTGGCTGTCAAATAGACTGAGTTTGTGACTATGCAATAACTGTGGCCAGTGAAGGACCTGTCTGATCAGACTTGGACAACACAAACTTAAGGTTAGATACTCAGTTCTTTGGGATCGTCACTTTTCGACAAAGCCACTAAGAATGAAGCCTACAGACATTTCACCCCAGACCCTACTACACACTCAGACTAAAATTACCATAAATGACCCACATCGATCTGGAGAAGGTCAACAAAAGAGGTTCAACGAAACTTGCAGCTTCAAAACAAGCCAAGGCTCGATCCGACCGCGCCGCTTCGATGCCTGCGAGGATGCTCCGCTCCGTGAGCATGCGCAACATGGCATGGTAGCGCACGATCTCTGCTTGGCGGAGCGCAGATGCATCATGTCCTGCTTGCAGCACCAAAGTATCCACCTCAGACCGGAAACCAGGTTATTGGTCTTGTAGAGGTATGCTGAAACAATGTGACTTCACTCACTTCCGAAGGGAAGACAGCTCAGCAGATATTTTTGCTGCACTTGGAAACAGAACGCTGAAGAGGAACACGTATGAGAAGCTCAACCCGTGATGAAATCCGCAGCTCAAGCGTCGGACAAACCAACGTCAGCATCGTCATACTCATCGACCCTCTCTGCATCCTCGACAAGACTCACAGTCCTTGGTCATCAAAGTGCAGAAAATGCAAGAACACCAGGACAGCTGTGGCACATTCATCTCAAACAAGCGAATCCCTGTTTCCTCCTTTTCAGGCATCCATATGGATACATGTGGATACAATCTCTCTCTCTCTCTCTCTGCTCTCTTTTCTTAGTTCATGCATCCTCATCTACTCGCATCCACCCGTCCCTGCTGCTCCTCACATTTCACACCGAGCATCGCAGCATCCTCATCCAGATCCACGACCGCATGTCGCTTCTTCACATGCACAGCCACATAGGCTGCAGCGGCGGCCACCAAAATCTTCTTCTTCGCCTCTTCCTGGCACCCGCTGGCACCGAAGTGCGTAGCGCTGACCGATTTGACTCATGGAAAATTGCACAGAAAAGTCAGAAACCACACTTTATATGGTTTTGCTGGGTGGAAATATCTGAAGATCCTGCAAATTGGACACATTCATTTGGGCCTCTTTCAAGAAGGCCTGGACTCCACCGAAATATACAAACAGTGTCAAACACGACATTCTCAACATGTGTGGAACTGCAGTGCAACCAAGGGCAAAATCCATGTCCACCAATTCAAGCGCGTGCGGCCGAACCAAGAAAATGCCGTCACGTCAACGTCACATTCGACAACAGCTTGACGCCTGTCCTTGACGCCTTCCTTGTCGTTCAGGTCTTGCAGCTTTAAGGTCACCCTCTCTGGGCCACCGACACAGGACACTGTGAAGGTCTTACTCGGAAGCATCAGCAAGTGTTGTTTGGCAAAGAGGAAAGCGAGGAAGCAAGGTATTAAGACTCCATAGCAAACGCCACATGCTCCACCAAGCCAATCCACCTCAGCAAAGCAGCAAGAAAAAGATGGACATGGACATACATGGAGTCTGCCGCAGGATGTGGTCTGCCGCAGGTCTTCGCATCAAACCAGGCGTCCAAACTGGACAAAAGTGCTTCGAACCTATCGTCCGTTCTGGTGGGGCGAAACCACTCACTGAGGGGTGGACCCATGCTGCTTCCGAGCACAGCAGCTGCGGAAAGAGCGGTCGAAAGGCCCAGGACTCCAAGGGCGCTTGACCTGCACGGGGGCTTAGACTGCACGGACCGCCATTCAGCCATGGCCATGATGTGCCATGGCCATGTCTTCATCATTCAGCCATCACCTCACCCGGATTTTTCATGGTTGTGAGGAACGCACTACCATAACTCATAAGTGGAACTTGAAGTCTCAAGTGAAAAATCGTGTGAGCACCCTGCTGTCTCCGTAGGCAATCTCGCTCTTCCAGTCTTCAGTTTGGAGCCTGTGCCGTCCGTCCGTTGGCATCCCAGCAGCTGCGCAGAGCCAGCAGCACCGCCGATGAAGAGCACCGTCAAGACTTTCAAGCCAATCTGGATTCCTAGGAGGAAACGATCAGAATTGGATCACCTATTTTGGGCTTGACTGGGGGAATCCTGTTTTGGCTTGTTTCTTTTCCCATTTGGCTCTTGAGACGCAGTTGAACCAAAATCAAAACCAATAAGACAAGGGTTTATCAACCTCCATCTTGGCTCATTGTGTGAAAACATGTATATAATTAGTCTTCATTCTTGACACAGACAATTGTTTGTGATTCTTGCACACCTTCATTGTTTAGGAACACCATGCATGCTTCACATTTCAATGTGCCCGATTGATTCTGTGACTGTGACCGTTCATACGCTCATCGTTTCCTGCTCAACACACTCTGACTTCAGACTTCTGCTAAGCCTCCGGTGCCTCGCGAAAGGATCTCGATGAAGCAGCATCCGAGCAGCATGGCCAGTGGAACCACGGGCGTGGCGATGGCGAAGAGCGAACGCACCCAGGCGCCGTCCAAGCGGCACTGCAAAGCCACGAGCCTTTGGAGTTCACTGGCAGTGAGCTGCGACATCTCCAGGCACGCTAGCCATGCGTCACCTCAACTCACTCAACAAGTTCACTCAAAGACTCAAACAGTTAATCCATCCAAGATGCCTTTTTCTCAACAAAACCTTGACCTGTTCATCAAACATCACCTGCCAGGGCCTTTGTACAAGGCGCTTTGCTCCTCCTCTTCGCCGTTGACGAAGCGCCTCAAAGGTCCCAAGGCCGACCACAGTTGCACCAGCTGCAGGAGGACAGCCAGCTGCGGTAGGACCAGCTGCGCCGCACACGTCCAACGAAGGTCGGAATGGAAGGAACGCCTCCAGCTTTGGTGGTTTCAAGATTAAGAGAAAACACAACGAGACTCGACCCATATATATATATATATAAGGGTGGTCAAATCAATGTATTTTACAGTAACTCTTAAACACTGTACAACGTGCAAGAGCAAGAATTGAGGTCGCCATGTACAACATACTTTGCAACCAAAGCTACGGTCTTCTGATTCATTCACCCCCGTGCCTCGCACCTGTTTGTAAGCGAGCACCCTCTAATTAGGCACATGGCAAACTTGGCGCGCCTGACAGCCCACGCAGCAGCACCAACTAGCAGTGCCATGGCAGTAGCGCATAATCCCAAAAAGACCTGAACGATGGCAGCAGGGCATCACTTCGGTTTCGGGTATCTCCATCCAAAAGAGCAACAAACAATGCCTGAAGTTGAGGAAATGAACATTTGCTTCTGCTTTGGAATATCTCCAAACCAGCAAACACGTGTCCCATATCTTCACAGTACTTGGGTCACTTCGGCGACTGCACGTGAAAAACGAAACAAACACACAGTTTTGCCATCTCAAATCCAGGATGACCAACCACGCCGGTGAGATGTTCCGAATCTCTGTGCATGGTATGCACCGCCCACCGTGGGCCCGGTGTCCCGGTTCGCAGTCGGTGCAAAGTCTGCCAAAATATCCTGGCAAGGCATCCCCGGATCCAAGTTGCTGGTGTTCTGCGCTTGGAACCCACTCCAAAAACCTCAAAAGGCTACTGTTCTTCTGGTGGGAAGATTTTCACCATCGATCCATCTTCGTGGAGTCATAGAATACCTGTCGATCCCAGAAATGTCCTGTCCTTCTGCACACCCTGAGCTCGTGCACCGCGCAGCCTCCAAGCATTTGTAGACCTTCTCCGAGGGCTCCTGCAGCCGTGCATAGCCTTGGAGCACTTTTGCCGTGCTCGCCTTGCTTCCAGCGGGGCAAAGCAAGTGAAGAGCCTGGCACGAAGCGCAGTGTTCAGCCCCTGCTTGCGAGTTCACCAATGCTTTGTCCTCAGGACATTGGCAGCTCAATGTGCCCGAGCTGTTCTGGACGGTACCAAACTCGCATGCGCAGGCGGCTGGGGAGGTGGAGGCGCTCGGGGCTTTGCTGTGCGGTGGACATGGGAGGCATGATGGAGAGTTCAGGTCCTTGACAATGAACTCAATCAGAAAGGAAAGAGAAAGG